TTTCGACTTGCCTCATTTTGTTTCAAGGCTGTTTTGACAATATCTGTTTCATTTCAATTTCACTGTTTTGACCTCAAAATGAGTTGAAACAGCATTGAAACAAAACTGGCAGTGAAATGTTGCACAGCCCTACTCCTTTGTGCAACTGTGCTTATGTCTACACTACAGTCTGGAGATAGGACTGCTGCACACCCAGATACACCCATTAACATTTATCTAGCTAGCTCTCCTATAAAGAGCTCTGAAGCCACAGCAGCACAAGTGTCAGCTCAGCCTGCTGATCACATATCCACAGGGTCTTTAGTGGAAAAGGGAAGCTCATAGAATCACAGAATAGAAGGACTGGAAGGAACCTATAAGATCATCAAGTCCAGTCCCCTACCTTGGGCAGGAGGCAGTTGGGCTCAAACGAGTTCAACGAGGTGCTTGTCCAGCCTCCTCTTGAACACCTCAAGGGATGGCGACTGTACCATCTCTGCAAGAAGTGTGTTCCAGATTCTAGATACCTTTATGGAAAATACGTTTTTCTTTATGTTTAGGCTACATTTTTCCTCGATTAACTTGTGCCCATTGGTCCTCATCCTCCCCAGGGGTGCCTTTCTGAAGAGCTGCTACCCAAAATCTTGGTGTTCACCCCGATGTACTTGTAGGTAGCTATCAAGTCACCTCTCAGTCTTCACTTATGCAGACTGAACAAACCCAGTTCCAGGAGTCTCTCCTCATAGGGCCTATCCTCCAGGACTCTAATCAGATGGGCAGCCCTTCTATGTACCCTTTCGAGCTTATCTACATCCTTCCTGAAGTACAGTGCCCAGAACTGGACACAATACTCCAGCTGTGGCCTCACCAATGCTCAACAGAAGGGAAGGAGCACCTCTCTGGATCTATTTGCAACACATTGGCTGATGCATGCCAGAGTTCTGTTTGCCCTGCTAGCAACTTCATCACATTCTTGTCTTATATTCTTCTTCTGGTTGATTGTCACCCCCCAGGTCCCCTTCAGATGCAGTGTCAGCCACTGGACCACCACCTATCATACAGTTATGATGAAGGTTCTTCCTACCCAGATGAAGGACCTGGTACTTGTCCCTGTTGACCCTCATCTGATTGCGTTCAGCCCATAGGACCAATCTGTCAAGGTCATCCTGGATCCTTACCCTCTCTTCAGAGGTGCCCGCATTACCCCACAGCTTAGTGTCATCATTTCATTTAATCATTGCATTTTCTACTTTCTCATCCAAGTCATTGATAAAGATGTTAAAGAGCACCAGCCCAAGCACTGATTCCTGGGGGACACCACTGGAGATGCCCCTCCAGGATGAGGCCATCCCATCAATTACAACTCTCTAGGATCAGCCCCTGAGCCAGTTGCTGACCAACCTCACTGTAGACTGGTCTAGGCCAGTACCCTCCAGCTTAATTGAGAGAATCTCATGGGAAACAGTAGCAAAGGCCTCGCTGAAGTCTAGGTAGATGATATCAACCTCATGTCCCTTGTCCAGCTGGTTAGTTACCTGGTCATAAAAGGACATCAGGTTTGTTAGTCATGACTTCCCTTCAACAAAGCAATTCTGGTTGCTTCTTAATACCCCACCAGTTGTAAGCTTGTGGTTGATGGCCTCCTTGACAATTTTTCAATGATTTTTCCCAGGATAGAAGTCAGACTGACCAGTCCATAGTTCGCAGTGTCGTCCTTCTGTTTCTTAAAGATGGGTACGTTAGCCCTCTTTCAGTCGTTTGGGACCTCTTCTGAATTCCACAACTCTTCGAACACCTTCGCCAGAGGCACCACTATGAGCTCTGCCAGTTCTTTTAGGACTCTTGGATGCAGGTCATTTGGCCCCACAGACTTAAAAACATCCAAGTGTTCTAAGAGCACTCTTACTTGTTTGGGACTAATTTAATGTGGACTGTTGTTTTCCCTGTGCCTCTGGATAGGTGACCAGTTCCTGTCTGATTTCAGGAATACAACGTGAAGTATTAAGGAGCTCTGCCTTTTCATGGGGGTCAATTGTGGGCTGTCCCTCTGTATTCAGTAGGGGTCCCACAGTGGAGCTTGATTTTTTCTTGCTCCCTATGTACCAATTAAAGGACTTTTTGTTGTTATTTATTTTGGTTGCCAGCTTGATCTCCATGTGTGCCTTGGCTTTCTGTCTCACATACCTGCAGACCCTGGCCCTATGAGTGTACTCCTCTCTGGAAGCTGAACTGTTTTTCCATTGCATATATGCTTCTTTTTTCTTTTTCAAAAGTTCCCTAATGTTCCTGTTGATCCAAGCGGGTCTCTTGGTCCCTTTCTCTCTTTTTGACCGTATGGGGATGGCTTTTTTTTGAGCAGTGAGAATTGCCCCATTAAGGCAGCACTGCCGTTCCTGAACTCCCAAATCATAGTTGCTGGTTGCAAAGGGCCTTTCTAACTAGGCTCCTGAGTTTACCAAAGTCTGCCCTTCTGAAGTCTAACTTCTGTTCTACTGACAGAATTCCCAGCTTTTTGGTGGAAGGTGAACCCAAGCAGATTGTGATCACTGTCACCAGGAGTACCTCCAATCTTCAGGTCACCTACCATGTCTTCTCCTTTGGTCATCACTAAGTCCAGAGTGGCTTTACCCCTAGTCAGTTCTTCCACAGCCTGTGTCAAGAACAGGTCATCAATAGCTGTCAAGAATTTGGTTGAACTGCTGGAGCTGGCTGAATGGTCTTCCCAACAGATGTCAGGGTAGTTGAAGTCACCCATGGCAATCAGGTCTTTAGTGTTGGTTGCCTCAGTCAGTTCCCTGGAGAATGCCTGATTGCTCTCCTCTTTTTGGTAGAGAGGTCTATAGTAGGCTCCCACCATCAGATCCCCTTCTTCTTGCCTCCCTTGTATCTTGATCCAGATGGTCTCAAGGGACCTCTCCTTGCCATCAAATGTGACCTGCAGGGAGAGGTACCACTCTTTCACACCCCTCCTCCCTTTTTCCCAATTCAATCCTTCCTATAGAGGCTATAGCCCTCAATATCCACTGCCCAAGCATATAGATTCATAGATTCATAGATTCATAGATTAAGGGTCGGAAGGGACCTAGTAGATCTTCTAGCCTGACCCCCCGCCAGGGTGGGAGAGCAACAAAAAACCCCAAAAAGAGAAACGGGACTCAAATGAGTCCAGCCAGGTAGGCATCCAGCCTCTTCTTAAAGACCCCCAGGGTAGGGGCCAGCACCACTTCCATTGGAAGTTGGTTCCAGCTCCTAGCCGCCCTAACTGTGAAGTAGTTTTTGCGGATGTCCAATCTATACCTCCTCTCCATCAACTTGTGCCCATTACTCCTTGTTATGCCAGCGGGCGCTAGGGGAAACAGCGTCTCCCC